TACTTAAATCAAATGAGTTAGATCTCTCTGTAACGACATGGACAGGTCTCCAAGATGTATCGTCTGAGGAAAAGAGCAAGCCACCAAGGGAAGCATAAAACATAATGACGTTCACGTAAAAACCGGGTAACGCATAAGCCTCAGAGAGAGGACAGTCAAACGGCTCTCCTCTCGCTAGACACACAAGTAGCTTGCCTCTGGGGAAGTGAGGAGACAGACTAGCTTCAGCGGTAACAGTGAGAGGAGCCTTTAAACACTGTCTAGAAGATTTAAGTTGTAAAAGTGAATTCACACATTATCTATGTCATCCAAATTGCCACGGATCCCAGCTGAATTTATTTGGCGACGGTTCTGCCGGTTCACAAGCCCATCCAAGGGAGAGCCTCCAGGGTGACGGAGTCTGGGCGCAGCTGTTGTGTCTGGTGATGAAGGGGCTTGTCTGCAGCGTCTCCAGTCCAGCAGCCTGCTGGGAAGGCATCCACACGGGATCACTGCGCGGCGCGGGGTCCTCCAGCCGCCAGCAAAACGGAGATCTTAATTAAAAGCTAGAATATAACCAGCATCTCCTTACTCTGTAATAGCCTCTATACATTGCCATCGTCTCAGGAAAACCTGACATGTATAAACATTTATTAATTACAGCTTCCAAATTCCAAAAGAATCTTGAATGGTTTAGCTTGAAATTCTGACATTAAAATAAGATGCTTAAAATATGCAAGTATTCAAACCACAAAAGTGAAAGTGTTAGTCACTCCGTCACGTCCACCTCTACAATCTGTGTCCATGGACTGCAGCCCTCCAGGCTCCTCTGTCCGTGGGATTCTCCAGGCAAGAATGCTGGAGTGGGCTACCATTCCCTTCTCCAGGGGATCTTCCCTGACCCAGGGATCCAACCTGGGTCTCCTGCATTGCAGGCAGACTCTTTACTGTCTGAGCCCCCAGGGAAGCCGTCAAACCACAAAGTCTAAATGTTATTCATCAGAAAGATAAGGAATATCCTTATTAGCTTGGAGAAGCAAATGGCAGCCCACTGCAGCATTCTTTGTGGAAATTTTCATGGACAGTGGAATCTGGCAGGCTATACAGTCCGTGGGGTTGCAAAGAATCAGACACAACTGAGACTCACACACACACACACACACCCTAATTAGTTATCAATTTCTTCATTTCACCTCAAAGACTATTTATTGTGAGCCTACTGTGTGCAGGTGGCATGTGAGCAAGCTGGTCCTGGAACCTGAGAAGGACTGTCAGAGGCTTGCTTGCCCAACACACGATGTCCAATGTAATGGTTAGACTCCTATCCTGGTTACGTAAAATCACCTTCATCTGATGATCTCATTTTGATAGTACTCTCAGGTTAACAAAAAGTTTTAAATATGAATTTTTTAAGTCATAGAGTTTTTGGTTTTTTTTAAAAAAAAACAAAACAAAACAAACGCAAAAACAATGCCAGACTCACCCTTGGAGCAAAGTTTTGGTGTTGCTTGTGTGGGTGACATTTAGACCCAAGCCTGGCTCATGAGTGTGACTCATGAGAACATCTCAGATGGTGAGAGCAGGGACCTTCCTGGTGCTTAGAGGGAGCAGCTTGAAGGAGCCTCGCTGCTCTGAGCGGCTGAGCAAGGCCCACCCAGGGCTTCACTGAACAACAGTCCTTTCCAGAAGCTCCTACACCCCGAACTGCAGCCCTCAGTGATGGCCACTTCCATCCTCTGAGAAAGCTGTGGGGCGTTCACGCCAGGGTGACCTCCTGCCAAAAGCCTGCCATCATTTCACTCACCAAATTAAAAGGGCTTTTGAAGGGATGTCTCTTTGAATATAAACATCCTCATCAGAAAGCATCATTGATTGCCTGCCTCCTGGGGAAGGAGGGCTTCTAACTCCTCTAGAGGTTTCACATTGCACGTTGCTAGATGAGTCTCCATCCTGGAAGCCTGCAATTTAAAACTCGTCTAGAATACGCCTTCTGGATGCTTACAGATAATTCAAGAAGACGTCCCAGAAATGCAAGGCTCATCAGCCTCAAAATACTGTGCACTGGAGACCCACGGGTTTACTTTGGATGTATTACAATGTGATGGTGATGACTTTGAAAAGTCCTGGTAGAAATGCTGAGAAATTTTCCAATGATGTTGCTACATTATAAAACTAAGATAGGAAAAGCAGGCTAGCAGATGCTTCCAATAGAACTTGAAACTCTCCTGTGTTATTTTTTCCTAAGAGGTCTAGATTTAGACTTCTAGGTTAGACTTCGTCAGTGCCTATGAAAATTGGTTTAGTCAAAAACGTTTCTTCTCCCCCAAAGGTGTAGACGACAGAGCATCTGAACGAAGCGTTTCCCGAATTCATTATAATATAATGTCAGGCTTGTGACATATGACAGTGGGTTTCACGCTGCACTTAATGAGAGGTTGCCAGTGCCTGGAGAAATAAGAAGTAAGATTTGCACGTGTTGCACAAAATGAAGAAAATGTCGCCAGCCTGGTGGCAGTACAGCTTTGGTGCGTAGACCAGTCGCGTGTCTGTGGCACCGAGTGTGGCCAGACTTCCCATCACTTCTGTGTGGGTAAAGTGGGGTGTCCCCAGTGAACGGGGCGGAGAGTGTGCTCTGTTCAAGACCTGCAGGTTCCTGTCACACGCGTGTGTTGGCGGTTCACTGCACGTGAGATGAGAAATGACTTTAGAGGCTGCTAAGACAGATTTCTGCATACAGGTGGCCTTGCCATCCCAGGAGAGCCTATTGTGTTTATCTCTTTTCTCCTCTTGCTTTGGTTTCCAGGAAGCCTAGAGACAATGTTAATACTTAATCGCCAGCCTTGGTTCTGGTCCAGTGGCAAATTCAGCGCTGTACTTTAGGAAATCTCTTTTATGACTGATGAGCATGTTACAGTTGGAAGTCGTCTTCTCTTGTATTCATCCCGGCATTTCTCAGTTGCAAAGCCCTTTCTCATTTGTTCCCTAAGTCCCACTCTCTGGCTAGAACGTTGGCTGTATTTCTGCTTCATAAATAAACGCCATGACTTTTCCAAGGCTGCTGAGCTTGTATCAAGGCTGGATTCAGGTCGCAGGTCTCCAGAACCCTGTAAAGGCTCTTGTAGGAGAGATGTCAGCCGTGAGAAAGCTCCCGCGCACGGGGGTGGTCCACAGGCAGGAGGCCGTGTTGGTGTCGTCACTGGCATCGTAGGCACGGTCCTTGGCTGCGTGTGGATTTTAGGGTGTGTGACGCCCGGTCTCCTCCCACACCTTCCCAGGTGAGAGCCTGGAGGAGGAAGCCTGGGTCTTCCTGAAAAGTGAAGCCAGCCCCCACGTGCCATGCCAACAGAGATTGATGTGACGGCTGGCTGGCAGGACAGGGCCTGGGGCCGCCGTGCGCCCGGGCTCAGGGCCCGTGTGGGAGCTGCCAGGCTGGATTTCTCTCTCGCCGAAGGTTGACGCCATCCTTCTGCGGGGACGACGGGCTGTCCTTCCCCCTGGCCTCCACGCTGCCCTCCACGTGGTGGGCACAGCCTGTACTGTCCGTCCTGGGAACTTTGGATTAGCGCTGACGCCAGCCTGTGCCTGTGATATTCTGTCCAGCGTCCTGGGATGTTGGGAGAACTGGTAAGAGGAGAAGCTACCCCTTCAGACCACGTTCACAGCTGCTACTGGCCAGGAAAGTAACCGCCCAAGGAAGGTGTTGATTTCTCTGACCCTGAGAGACATTTCTGAATAAACTAGTGACTGCCTCAGGCATGGACACATATGTGCACCTGGAACCTCTTAGGCACTCGCTCAGCGTTTGTGGAGAAACCTCCTAAAGCAGGGGCTCCCCGCCTTCACATCCCTGCCAGCCTGAGGCTCGTCTGCAGGGCATGGTGAAGCCTCGTCCCTGGAGTTTAATTCAGCTGGTCTGGGGAGGGGCTCCGTGATTTAATTTCTAACAAGTTTCAGGTCATGACAATGCCACGCAGGGACCATACTTCAGACAGCACCGTCCTGAAGTAGAGATTGGCAGACTTGTTCTGTAAGCACCAAGTAGTGTTTTAGCCTTTGTGGGTCATTAGGGTTCTGTCACTCAACTCGGCCATTGTATCTACAGAAAGGTGTCAGGGGATGAGCACAGCTGTGTTCCAGTAAAACTTTATTTATAAAATCAGTGGTGTTCTTGCTTCAAAAAATATGTGTTGCGAATATTAAAAAAAAAAATTTTTTTTAATGTTAGGAGCCAGAGCCTCGTTCTGAGTGAATTTCTGAAAGCTCTCACATGGGAACCAGTGTTAAAGTCTTGGCCGTTGTTCAAATCTCGAGACTTTGAAGATCACTAGCATCTGTGTGTGTGTGTGTGTGTGTGTATCTGTCAGTCCTTCCGTCGTGTCCAGCTCTTTGCGACCCCATGGACTGTAGCCCACCAGGCTCCTCTGTCCATGGGATTTTCCAGGCAAGAATCCTGGAGTGAGTTGCCATCCCCTTCTCCAGGTTTGAACCCAGGTCTCCTGCACTGTAGGCAGATTCTTTATCATCTGAGCCACAAGGGATGCCTATGGTGCTTGGGAAATGGTGCTGGTTTGGGTCTGTGTTTGTCCTTACATGTATTTCTGGAAACCTTGTGCAAAAGGAGGTGGCCCAAACTCTGCTGACTGGGTGCAGGGTCACTCGGCTCAGCCTCACGAACACACCCTGACTTGGGGCCCGCTCTGCTTCCGCCCACGCTGGGCCCTGGGGACATGCTTGACCGTGTGGTCTGAACCGCTCTGCTCGCCTGGAGCACCTTGATCCCCTTGATGGCTCTGGCTCCAGAAGCGGTGGTTCTGGTGGAAAGCCCGACGTGTGCAGGTCATTCCTGGAAGGAGGAGGTGCGGGTGTCCAGTGGCTCCCGGAACCGGAGCCCCGCCGCCGTAGGACATCAGAGGACGGGCCCCACCGTTGCCGTGGGGACGGGAGGGGCAGGCTGGAGCTTGGCTTAGTCCTAGACGTGGTCCTCTCGTGACTGACAGTCTTTACACCACTTTTCCCTGCAGGACCCGAGGAGTAAGCACAAGTTCAAGATCCACACCTATGGCAGCCCCACCTTCTGCGATCACTGCGGGTCCCTGCTATACGGACTCATCCACCAGGGGATGAAATGTGACAGTGAGTATGTTTTCTGTTCTTTTGCAGCATGCCTGGGGCCAGCGGGGCCCTGTGATGCTCAGGAACCTTTCAGAAAATCCGTAGATTTCATTCAGATATGGACTCAATTACAAAAGTATAGAATCTCTCCACTGGTGAGGTTCTAGTTTATTACATGACTTCCCTGCCTAATTATGAACCCAAAAAAGCACCTGCTTTCATGCAGTTGGTGCTGTCCCCAGTTTTTCATGGTAGAAATCTCCAATCACTGTTAAATACAGGCTGGTCAAATCCCCAAGCAAATGCCACGTGTTGAAAGAAGACACCCCACCCCCAGATTCCACATTTGGTTCAGCTTCAAGATGAGCTGAGCATCCACAGTCATTATCCGCCCGTGTCTCCAATTAGTGGGTGGACTGTGGAAAAATCCAGTGGGTTCTCCTTGGAGCCAAAACCACAGTGAAAATAAGAACAGGATCTTGCTTTAAGTTCCCTCGTCCTGCATAATTATGAGCAGATCAGATCCTACCAGGCCAGTGAGAGATGAAATCCTGGAAGACACCCAGCCTCTCCCCTTCTCCCTTCTTGTTCTGCGTGTGTTTGCACCAACTGCAGGAGGAGAGAAAGACATCTCTTTTTTTCATGGGAACTCTTTGTTTTGATTAATCTCATGTAATGAGGTTCCCCAGGCTATTTATTTGTTTCAATAAAACTTTATTTTTAGGGCAGGAGAAGGTAATTGGGGAAGGTAATGACCGAGCCTGTTTTTCTAGTAGATGAGGAAGAGTTTGGGTACAGTCAGCATGTTGTCACTCGATAATGCTGCTGTTGTGGCCCACAGCCTCATCTGTCCCCACACGGAGCAAAGACACGTGCCTGCATCGTCTTCCCTGGGGATCCGTGGTAACCCTCCGTGGATACAGGGGCCAACCATGTAATTCTCTGGAAGGGATCCGTGTCTAAGAGGACCCATGCGGTTCAAACCCACGTTGCTCAGGGTCAACTGTACAGAGAAGACAGACTGTGTGATCTTTATGGAGGAGATGGGTAGCTTCTCGGAATGCAGGCTTCACCTTCCCAAGCCCTGGACCCTAATAGCCTCGAGAAACCCCTGTGATCCTCAGGGCTGGTGGTTTCCTGTGCTTCCAGAGATTATCGGATTCCAAAGACACCGCTGTTAGGGTTAGTGCGGATTCTAAGTGCGTTTGTAAATACACTTTTGACCGTTGTAAAACTTGGAGCAAAAGTGAATACTCGGCCGTGTGAGGCACTCGACCGTTAACAAGTTGAAGGTGACCTTGAGACTGATGCCCACTGACTCAGCGGGCAGAACAAGCCACGTGTCTTCTGGCGCATCCTCTTCCGTGTCGGCCGGGACCGTGACCCGTGCCCTTAAACAGGGGTGCCAGCTGTACCTTCTGGGTGGACCAGGATTGGGTGCTGCCAGCTTTAACACAGGCCAGGAATGAATGCATCCTCGAGGCTGAGCTGAGTCTCCATCGAGCGTCCCCAACAGTTCGGTTCATAGTTGTGTTAGGATCAGAGGGAGTTAATGGTTACCCAGGAATGTCCTAATAGTAAATAAATGGTATAGATTTGAATTTATTAGCCAAATATATTCTAACAAAAGGCCTTCCCTGGTGACTCAGTGGTAAAGAATCCATCTGCCTGCCCAAGCAGGAGATGTAAGTAAGATGCGGGTTCAGTCCCTGGGTTGGGAAGACCCCTGGAGGAGGAAATAACAATCCACTCCAGCATTCTTGCCTGGAGGATCCCATGGATGCAGGAGCCTGGAGGGCTGCATCCTTGGGGTCACAGAGTCGGGCACGACTAAAGTGACTTAGCATGCACACATGCTAATAAAATAACATGCACCTGGTTTATATGTTAGGATTCTGCTTCAGATTCTGGTTATGGACTGTGTTCCCACCTGAAGCAGTGTGTTGTGTTGTGTCTTTAACTCTTTTCCTCGGAGTCTGAGGGGCTCTGGGCTGCTGTCTGTGTTCCGAGCTGGAGCGGGAGGAGCATGAGCCAGTGGTCGGGGCCCAGACCCCTCCCCTCACCTGGGCAGTGGAGACCCCCTCTCCCCGTGCCCCTACACCCTGTAGCGTGATGGCGCTGTGAGCATCCCTGCTTGGCGGGGAGTCAGCTACTCTCTGCAGGCTCACCTCGCAGCGGGCAGAGCAGGAGCGGGTGCTTCCTAGGACCCACCAGCTCCGAGTGATGAGGCTGACATAGGTCCTTTCTCCGCCGCCCTCCCGGGCCCACGGCCGTTCCAGAGGTGCTGGCCTTTTCTCCTTCAAGTTCTGCCCAAGTGAGGTGGTCAGTGCAGGTCACAGCACAGCTTCTCGAGAGCCCCGTGTGACTGAGACCTGTGTTTCACGCTGCTTCTTGCTGTTCAGTTCACCATGTTAAAGTTAATGGGCTTCCCCGGTGGCTCAGCTGGTAAAGAACCCACCTGCCAGTGCAGAAGATGCAAGAGCTGAGGGTTCAATTCCTGGGTCGGGAAGGTCCCCTGGAGGAGGAAATGGCAGCCCACTCTAGTGTTCTTGCCTGGAGAGTCCCATGGACCGAGGAGTTAAACACTCAAAACGAGAGTAGCGAGAAGGCTCCACCTTGAAGTGTCAGAAGAGCCTTGCGGTGCCCCTGGGGAATTCCCGAGGGTTCCAGGGGCCCCCCGCTCCTTCTGGAAGCCTGGGGTTCGGGGCCAGTGCAGCAGGAACACCTACACAGTCTTATGTTTGTGCTCCGCGCACAGGACTCTTTTCAGGGTGTCTTTAGTTTTCCGCAATAAGACTGATCTTTAGTCCTGCCCCTGTCTCACCCACATAATGTCAGCTGCTGAGGAATGCCTTATCAAGCCAGGCATGTATTTGTTTTGCGCAGAATAATATTTAAATATTTGAAGGTAGGTTTAAAATATCAATCACAGGGTCTTTTAAAAGCAACAACAAACAAAAGCAATGCTCTTCAGCCTCCTTGGAAATAAAGAGTTCGCTGAGGAAAAGAGCATTTTCTGAATATCATATACTCAGCCCCACAAATTCTCAGGAAGGCACAAGAAAGTCTTTGGCAGACAGAATCCTGTTTAAAATGTGTATATTGCTTGCCTCTGTGTAGATAAAGTACTAATTAGACCGTTTGTACGCATTCACGGGCCTGGATTTTGTTTGCTGTTAACACTGCAGGCACATTCGGAAGGCCAGGCGGGGGTGGTCTGCTTCGGTTATGGCTGGACAGACATGGATGGAGTATTTCAGGATGTGTCACTCACAGGAGCCTGTGCTGTGAGGGACATCTGCTAGCAGTGCTTTATGTCAGCGACGCCCAACGGCAGAGTATCGAGTTAGAGGGCGGCTGACTTCCACTTCTGTTCACGCAACCAAAGCACGGGTGGGGTGTGGTGCCAGGCCACCCACCAGCTCACCCTTTGCCTTCTTGACTCGCAGCCTGCGACATGAACGTGCACAAGCAGTGCGTGATCAACGTGCCCAGCCTCTGCGGGATGGACCACACAGAGAAGCGGGGCCGCATCTACCTGAAGGCCGAGGTCACAGATGAAAAGCTGCACGTCACAGGTGAGGCACTCCCCGCGGTGCGGCTGGGCTGCCCCAGGCCTTCAGACCAGGGGAGGCCGGCCCCGAGGCCGGGCTGGACGCAGAGCTGCTGGTTCACGTGCACCCGTCTCCCGAGGTCCCAGACACTCAGCATCCAGCGTGTCGTGAGCGCCGTGCAGAGAAGGGCTCTGAGAGCATGGCTGTGCCCTGGAGATGGGCCACCAGAAGCCATGGCACAAGATGCCGCTGGTGAAGGTGCAGCCTGGGCGGGGCAGGTGAGGGGTGGTCCAGGTGTTTCAGGGCGTCGGGCTGTGATGATAACAGCAGCCCTTTGGGTATTTATGCTCCTCTGCTCTGCATGGGGTGCTGAGAAATGCACACAGGTTAATTTATTACTTTTCACAACTGCCCAATCGCTAGCATCATTTTCCAGAGGACCAAACCGAGGCCCCAGGTGATGGGGTCCTGCAGAGACACAGCGTGAGTGGGGACCCCAGGCCCTGTGCTCCCAGCCATCACACCCCCGCAGCACTTACCCATGAGGGCCCGGCCGCGGTGGCTCCACCTCCGTGTTCCCGGCCGGACGCCCCACTCAGGGCACGTCTGGGTGGGCGCTGTCACAGGACAGCTTCTCCTTTGGGCTCCCGCCAAGCCCACGCTCAGTCGCGGGGCCTCAGGGTGACCGGACCTGTCTGCCGCGATGCCCACTGTGCTGAGTTAGGGTGGAAGCCCAGCCGGCAGCCACTTCCCCTCCTTGCTCTGGGCCCACCGCATCCCACCCGGCGGACACACCGTCCTCCTGGACAGGGGCATCCTCTCTCGTCAGAGCACGTGGACTGTGTTCCCATTTGTATTTAGGGACTCTAAGCTATCACAGAAATGGAAAAGCTGACTGACTTTTATTGTGAATGACAGATCTTATAGAAAAAAAAGACTCAGAGGGTCAGCTGAAGGAAAGAGTTGGAGTGGGGGAGGCTGTCCCAGAGAGAGCTCACTTTGGGGAACTTGCTCGCATTTTTTTCTTTGAAAACTAATCAAGTTTTCTACCCCATGCTTTCCTGTCAGATAAGAATTCAGGGAGAATCAGAGGGTCTCAAGGTGTTGCAGGGGGAGGGTCCCTCGCTTTGCCACCAGGTGACCTCATGAAATGAACCACACGCAGCTGATGACCAGGTGGGGCCATGGGTAAAGTCCCCACGGCAGACACAGGCTCCCTGCGACTCTGTTTCAGAGAAGTTGCTTTATTTTCTCAGAACCTCCCGACCTGCATCCTTGCACCTGGGGCTGCGATTCTCGCCTGTGTTCCCTCTGGTTGGACTGATGCTGCGGGGTTTGGGGGGTCCGCTCTGACTAATGGCTGAGCCCCCAGGCCCATAGCAGGTGGACCCCGGGGGTTGGGGCACGACCTGGTCCACACTGTTGCCGCCCCTCACCAACCACCCTCTCTTTTTTACTAAGGCTCCTCCATTGTCAAAGTCACATGTTGGGGGCAGGGAGCAGACAGCTTCAGAGAAAACCGCCGTAAAACAGAGACTCACCCAGTGGTGAGGGACGGAGTGGCGTGGGCAGAGTGCCGGCCCTTTGCCCTGAAAACCCGTGGTGGCCCCGCCCCGCGGGGAGCAGGCAGACCTCAGCCAGGAGGGTCTCGGCCCCGCCTCGGGCAGGACCACTTGGCTGGGGGTTGCTCCCAGTCCTGGGGCTTCTGAACACAGACCCCAGGCCGTGCACGCTCAGCCCGCCCGTCGTTCCCCATGCTGCTGCCCAGGGGGCCCGGCTCCGTCGAGCCTCAGTGTGGCACCGGGGCCCCGCCGGGGCGGCTCGCGGTACCCGCTGCAGGAGAGAGACCCACCGGGGCCCCGCCGGGGCGGCTCGCGGTACCCGCTGCAGGAGAGAGACCCACCGGGGCCCCCGCCGGGGCGGCTCGCGGTACCCACTGCAGGAGAGAGACCCACCGGGGCCCCCGCCGGGGCGGCTCGCGGTACCTGCTGCAGGAGAGAGACCCACCGGGGCCCCACTGGGGCGGCTCACAGTACCCGCTGCAGGAGAGAGACCCACCGGGGCCCCCGCTGGGGCAGCTTGCTGTACCCGCTGCAGGAGAGAGACCCACCGGGGCCCCCGCTGGGGCGGCTCACGGTACCCGCTGCAGGAGAGAGACCCACCGGGGCCCCCGCTGGGGCAGCTTGCTGTACCCGCTGCAGGAGAGAGACCCACCGGGGCCCCCGCTGGGGCGGCTCGAGGTACCTGCTGCAGGAGAGAGACCCCCCTCACGGGGACAGCAAGGCGAGCCGCCTGGGGCTCAGGGGCTGATCACGCCGTCGTCACCAAGAGTTGAACTTGACTGTGGAATCATCTCGGGGGAGAGACCTGCACTGAGTCAGAGACTTCATGCGTGAAAGCCAGCCGGTGGCACCTCTGACTGTAGTCTGGGTCACATCGCTCGAGGACTGGTCTGCACGTTTGCGCAGAGAGGCGGCTCCGCTCTAGGACCATGGGCTCAGCAGCTCCTGAACACCGAGCACTTTCCACCGGAGGGGCACCTTTGAGGCACCTTACCCGATTGACTTGCTTAAGCCTGTGCAGAAATTTATTATCCTTGCAGAGGATGAAACCGAGGCATGAAGAAATTAACTTGCCTGAAGTCACACAGATCGTCAATTTAATGGAAACCTATTTAATGGATAGAAGTGGAGACATTTTAATGACGGTACCATGAAGAATTGGAATCTCATCTTAGCTAAGGCTGCTGTAATAAATACTGTGGACTGAATTTCTCTTGGTTCTGGAGGACGGGAAGTACAAGATCAAGGTGTCTATTGCCAGTTTCTGGAGAGAACCATCTTCCTGGCGTGGAGTGGCTGCCTCCGGGCTCTGTCTTCACTTAGGGGGTGGGCGAGAGAGGAGGTTGGGAATGGGCAGGGGCGGCAGAGGAGGGCGCCGTGCTGTGGAGCCTTCGGGGCACTGTTCCCATCCTGAGGGCTCCTCATGGCCCCTTCACCCCAAGGCCCCACCCCTGCATCATCCCCAGGGGGTCAGGGCCTCAGCGTACAAACCTGGGGGCACAGACATTCCATCCACAGCAAATCTGATTTAAAAACGCAGCAGTTATTTGTGTGCAGGAAATTCAGCCCTAAATATAGAATGCCAAACTAAGGGAAATAACTCATTAGTAATCATTTATTTAAAATTTGTGGAGTAATTTTAGATGTTGAGAATCAGAATTAGCCTGGCTTCAAGGAGAACGGAAGTATAAATAATAAACAGTGACTAGGAGCACTTGCGATACCAGAAAATAAGTCACAAAAGCAAATAGCACAGAGTTCCCTACATTCTTCACCCAGTAGTTCCCAAACCATAGTTCAAGTATCAAAGTCGTCACATTTTTAATAGTACCTGATAAATTTGTGAACCACAGGTACCTGTGTTAATCAATGGAAATATTTTAATAAGAGAGTGAAATCAGATATCGTGTATTAACACATATGTATATGGAATCTGGAAAAATGGCACTGATGAACCTCTTTGTAAGGTAGGAGTAGAGACGCAGACATGGAGAAGAGACTTGTGGGCGCAGCGGGGGAGGAGAGGGTGGGGTGAAGTGAGAGAGAGGCCCTGGAGCATGTACATCACCATGTGTGAGAGAGCCAGCCAGCGGGAGCCGCTGCACACGCGGGGAGCATGGTGCGGGGCTCTGGGATGACCCAGAGGGGTAGGAGGCGGTGGAAGGATGCTCAGGAGGGCGGGGGTAGGTGTGCACTGCTAACAGACTCACGTTGTTGTATGGCGGGGACCAACACAACGCTGTCAAGCGACTCGACGCCAATCAGGGAACAAGAGCCAAAGAGAAGAGACCCGGCTTCCCTGTCCAGGACGGAAGGAACCCAGACAGGCTGCTTCAGGGGAGCCCGCCGCCTCTCGCGTCACCCACCCGGACCCCTCCTCACCCAGCAGATCAGGCCCCGCAGCTGTGACAGACGGTTTCAGTAACACAGCTGCCCTCCCTGTGTCCTGCCTGGGTCCCTGCTGTCCACAGGACTGGACCTTTCTCCGTGCTGAGCGCTTACAGCCCCCGTTTCACAGACACCTGCGGTACGGAGCCACCGAGCACTGTTCTCTGAGCTCAGAGGGGCAGGCAGCCGCGGGGACGTGGCGGGAAGTGGTAGGGCTGCAGCTCAAGCCCAGGTCTGACTCCCGAACCCAGAGGCGGGGGCCCTCCCACGCCTCTCATCAATTATAGAGTCTCTTTGGGATAAACAGCAAACCCATAAGTATTTGCTCAACCCACATCAGCACCCCGCAGGTTCTCTGAGGTGACGGAAGGTCTAAAGGTGGGACGGACATCCAGGGGAGGAAAGGGTGCCGCGTGGAGCAATTCGTGGACGAGCCATGCCCACGCGTAACTAAGCGCCCAGTTTCATGGGTGCTGGACCGTCGCTGCTGAGAGGTGCTGGGAGACTAAGGGGAGGGGCAGGGAGAGACCCTGCCGAGGGGAGGAGGCCGAGGACGGGGCGTTTGAGGGGCCAGAGGGAAGAGCGCAGGGGAGGGGGAGGGGAGGAGGAGGGGTTGGCCGGCCTTGGTGTTCCCAGTGGTCACGCCCGAGGTGAGAGCTGGACCATGAAGAAGACTGAGCACTGAAGAACTGATGCTGTTGAACTGTGGTGTGGAGAAGACTCTTGAGAGTCCCTTGGACTGCAAGGAGATCCGACCAGTCCATCCTAAAGGAAGTCAACCCTGAATATTCGTTGGAAGGACTGATGCTGAAGCTGAAGCTCCAGTTCTTTGGTCACCTGATATGAAGAGCTGACTCACTGGAAAAGACCCTGATGCTGGGAAAGATTGAGGGCAGGAGGAGAAGGGGACGACAGAGGATGAGACGGTTGGATGGCATCATCAACTCAATGGACGTGAGTTTGAGCAAACTTCGGGAGATGGTGAAGGACAGGGAAGCCTGGTGTGCTGCAGTAAAAGGGGTCACAAAGAGTCGGACACGACTGAGCATGCGCACACAACATGTACACAGTGAG